CGGAACAAATTAGGAAATAATAAAAAAAATTGTAATATTAATATAGCATATCTTTTTGCGTGTGAAATAACGTATATAATGAAGGTATATTGTTTAATACGCTTACAGTTTACGATGAAAAATATTCAAAGTAGTCTCAACTCTCAAGAAAAATAATATTATAGTCATTCAATATTAGAGTATTACATAATAAATAATGTCTATTATAATGTTATAACATAATATGTACCAGTATACCTATGTACATTATACAATTAGACATGGGTGTCAGTCGTCTGCTAGCATAACCTTTGATCTTCTAAGCATTTATGATATTAATATTATGTTTAAACTACCTATCAAAATATAAAAATGCACCATAACTTCAAAGTTTATTAGTTTATATTTACACTTAATTTAAGTCAGATATTATAGATTTATATGAAATGATTTAGCAAAATATGAACAATAACTGTATCATATAGGTGATAATTTTTTGTCATTTACTATTTGGATCTTTTGACATTAATTATTATACTCGTACTATATATTTGTAAAATAATGAGTCCAAATATCGTTTAATGAAAGTAGTCTATTACTTATACATCATATATAATATGAAATGTACATTTGTGTACCTACAGGAATTATTTCATTGGCAACAACGTATTTAGTTTATACTATGTGTCTAAGAAAAAATCCCGTGATGTGAATATAAATTTATTAGAAATTGTTGGATATCTGATCATGATATATTGAAAGAAAATTCATGACAATTTTTAATCCATATTTTAAATGATTTCGTCATTGTTAATGCAAACATATTCATCGATTATATCAAAATTAAAACCTTAATTTCCATTTGGCACACAAAGACGATTTTTGTATTATGCAACTGCATTTTACCTGTTTGTATTTAATTATCTAATTAATTTTAATAGTTGGCATAGGAAAATATGTATTATAATTTAGTACTTTAGGATTAATTGTTAAAGCAAATTTAAAATGGAAGAATTTATTAAATATATTCAATGAAATAAGAATAACTACATAGGATATTGATCCGTTATTCTAGTAAAAATATTTCAAGGTATTCAGGTTGAAAAAAAAATATTATTTGAAAAGAAATTAAAGACGTGAAAAAAATTCCGGCCGGTATTGGTACGAAACCAGTAACCACTAAATTTCCAACATTTAAAAATAGTATTTATCGTCTAATCGTCAAATCGACGATTTGAAGTAGGTATCTCGTTTAAATGTTTAATGTTAAAACTAGTAAAATATTTAAACGGTCAATCACGTCTCGCTCTCACCGGTTACTTGCACACCAGCCCTTCCTGTTATATCTACTACAATTTATCTGGAAACCGGATCTTTGCCTGTTCGGTTCCCGGGAGTTTTGTCACAAATATAATGTCCGAGAATCGATCGGACTCTCTAAATTTGGACGACAGTGCAAGCCTCAAAGTATTATTTATTAATGTGTGTTTATATATATATAGATAACAAATTTGTTGTTTACACATTGCGTGAAAGGTCTTCCGGAACAAGCGTCTAATTGTGAAACACACACGACGCATATTCCTAACTATACAGGCAGCCTACGCACGCGTTGAACTTTCTCTATATACACGTTGCCACCGACACACAAAACGCACATACAGGGCCAAGAATAATATTATATTATATCGTACGATATTTTTGAGAAGAGGGGAAAAATAACGAGAGATAGATAGAGAGAGAGAACATAACACAATTTTTTCCTACTGACAAGTCGTAATAATAATAAATTCAATACTGCAGTCCTTATAGTTGATGCACAGTAGGAATTTTTTGTATATATTATAATTTCGAGGATATTATATTCGGATGATGCAACTCACGATAGTGTCGACGTACCATTCACGCGCCAACGATACACAGCATAGTGACTAGGTACTACCGTGCGCCAACCGGCGGACGACCTTGCCCTTTATCGCGTGGAAGACGTTTATACATGTTGGCCACGGGTCAAACTTGTCCGGTTGACATTTTCGATTTTTTTTTTCCCGATATCTCACTCCCTCTCTCTATTTCTGCGTTTTCCCATAGATCTAGACAAGTTCAGCTCATCGTGGCGGCAACGAGTACCTGACTACATAATACATATATAATTTATATACATATTTATTACCGTCTTTTAAGGTATACCTACTATATTAACGAGATATGAAAAAAACAACAAAATACAGACATCCTGCACGCGACTTTCTTATAAAAGACCGCTTTCGAGAACTGTGTGCGTTTGTCGGGTTGCTCGAGTGAAATTGATCGATACCCGCGTGCGCGGTATTCCGCGACCAAACATCTCCGCCGCAGCGGCTCGAAGCGCGCGTAATAAGTGGGTCTCCACTCGTACCTACCTATACCTTATTATACCTGTCTGTCTGCCTGCCTATATTATACAGTGAAAGTATAAACCCACGGTGCCAAACCTTCTTCATTCATTGATGTATCAGTCTTAGCCGGGTCGGTTAATGGTCACCGGCGCCGCGTCGGATTTAATTACCATCATCTCACTGCGATTTACCACCTATACATTATAATAATATAGTCTTCGTTGTTGTTGTTGTTGTTGTTGTTGTTATAGGTATATAATCATCATTTTCGACACTTGTCACCACTACGTGATGATTATACACACCATACCTAACTTATTACATTCCGTGTTGGACACGACTCGACCGCGGTGCATAGTTTTTTTTTTTTTGTTTTTGATAGAGTAGTTTTGATACACGTATGAGTGTGCGTTAGGTATCGATAATCAGCTCACGTGTATTTTTAAAAAATGTATAATAATATAATCTTAAACACTATTTAAGAACTATTATTAACGATAGATATTTTGAAAAAATAATAATGTAAAATAAATAATAATTATAATACAATATCGATTGTTTGTTTTTAGAATAATATAATACATATCAACGTTTTATAATAGCTTACTTCATATAACGTATGAAAGTTTAGCAGTAATAGTGATACATAATTGAATTAACCGAATCATACCCAATACTAATTAATCATAATTACTCTTTTGGTTCGAACGTCACATAATACAATTTTAAGACTTTCATAAATGTTTAACACATAAGTTTACTAAATATACAGTTTTTCGCCATTTGTTTACCACATAGTACCATTTTTAACGAGTAATAATAATATTATGTTAATATGCGACCTCTTCTTAATAGTAAATGGAGTATATAATATAATATGTATAGGTGACAGTACTTCAAAAGGTTTTAAAACTGTTCTACTTACGATATATACGAGTATAAGACGAGCAATTTCGTTTGTATTATTTTGCGGTAAAACTATAACGGGTACAAGGGGTCAAGGTCAGTAGTATGGTATATCATCAGTATTAGTGTATTACACATTGATATTTATGAAATACAAACACAATTGAATAACAGAAACATGAAATTATAAATAGGTAGCTATACGTGAATAAATTATTTAAAAAAAATATAGTATGAAGATAGTTAAATAGCTGTGGTTTTCTAAATTTATAATAATATTATTATAAGCTACATTTAAAGGGATAAGTAACACAACTCTATATTCATGAAAGTTTGTTGATTATAAGATATTTCAACATGATTTTTTTGAATTGTCAAAATTGTAAGGATTTGAAGTTGTATATAGTATTAAAAGACGATTTTCTTTGAGATCTAACTTCGTTTTTTTATTCACTACATCCATGTCATGAGGTAATTGTTATACTCTTCAGAGCTACGATCAAGGTCTAACAATTTTTTAATGGACTGGAAAGGTACTTACTTTCAAATTATCATATATATATATATATATATATATATACCGTATGTCCGCGAAATCTGGGTACACTCCATAACGCTGTTACCTACATTAATCAGTACCCTATAAATATTTTAGAATTCTGTCTGCGGGAGATTATTGATGATCCAATAGTCTAGATTCATTTCCCCCAAACAGAATGGAAAAATATTTGCAAAGTAATATTGGTAATTTAACTATACAGTGTAGGTACTCTGTTTTCGTGGACACACGGTATATATTATATACCAGGTGACTCATTTAAAGTAAAACACTCGCTACTTAAAAAATTGTAATAGTTTTTGAAAATATTTTTTTATACTTGTTTATTGTTAAATGACAAATATACTTTTAATTTCATATTCCGAAATAGAATATTATTCGGAGTATTTTTATGAAGGTTTACAAATTAAAATTCAGACGTTTAGTTAATTAATTGATTTAGTATCAAGTGATAATTTATACTTAAGTATTTAAAGTTTTGATGTGTGGGGTAGTGGACAAACATTTTGTGGTTCCATGTGCCACTCAATAAAAACTAAAAATACTTATAACTCAAAAACTTTACTCTAAATTTAGTTAATATATATCAAGTACCTGATTACTGTGAAAAATATTCTGATTTGGAATATGGAATTAACGACTTAAAAGCATGAAAAAAAAGTTTTATAAACGCTAATAGCTTTTGAAATCATGAATGTACACCGATAAAAGAATCACCCGGTATGCGTTAAAGTAAGAACAGTCTTATTTATTTTTATATCTACAAATATTTTTTAGCCAAAATTAATTAAGACATTTAAAAATTTAAAATCGGAGACTAAATTATAAAATAGTTATTCAGGGTACCTATTAATTATCTTTTTTTTAGTAAGTTTCGTGAAAAGTACTTGTCTGTAAATATATTTAATCTTTATTTTATACATAAATAGCTTATACTTAGGTAAAGAATTAATAATTATAGGTAACTATTGAAAATATTTGAATTGTACGATGATTATTTTTTTCCATACAGTTACCTATAGAATACAGAAAATTTCAAAACATCGATCTCCAGATAAAATAACACTTAATGTTATTAGGTATATATAATTTGTAAAATACAGTAAAGATAAAGAATATTAGTTTAAACACCGATACTAAATAGTCAGGTTAATCGAGAAAAAATATGTTTTACTTACTTTTTTGTGACTCCAAAGCGCGTTTACACTCGGCTTTCCCCGTCGAAAGTCTGATTGATCAATGACATCATCGTGAATTAGGGATGCAGAATGAATCATTTCCGCAATCATAGCTACTTCTCTTTGTTTTTTGTCCAAACCACTGTAACCGTAAGAATACCGTAGGTAAGTACTATAATATACGAACATTGTTAACAAGTAAATATGTATTTTTTTTTTTTTATTGAACAAAATTTTATTTACAATCTGTAATTACAACATATATTACAACGAGTAAATGGGATTGTGATGATTAGCGGGAGGGGGGAAATCACCCATTGGTGACATCCCATTGTAAATATATTAAATTAGTTTAAGTGTCTTATGACATCAACAACATTTAATTTAAGTTTAAAATTTTCAAAAAAAGTTAAAACCATTATAATTGTTAATGTACAATTTTCAAATAATATAGTTAATAATGAATAAGGTACTCCGGTTAATTCATAAAATATATAATATATCATATTAGATTTGTGTTAACAGTAGGATCAGATACTATATAATAATGACAATACACGAACACAACACTCGTGGTCAAAACGCAAGACACTACCACTCCCCTACAAAAACCAAGTGATTGCCTACAATCACGATGGTTTTGTATATTAATTGCCTATGTGCTGATTTTTAATATAATATGTTTTTAGCCATTTAGAGTTGAAATAACGAAGTATTTAAAAAATACATGTAATTAATTAGAATAATTAATGATTACCATTTACCGCGTAATTAGATACGATAATGAAATAATTATTTGTAATATAAACGGGTTAAGAGATACGCAACTTATATTAAACACAATATTAGATAGACATACACTTTAGGCGATTCTTATCTTTGAGTATCGCGTATTGTAATTTACAATATTATTGGTAGCCTTTAGTAATCATATATTAGTAGATATAATATTATCTTCTATAGTTACATTTTTAAAAGAATAGGAATTGCAATTTTATAATTTGTTTGCATATTTTGAACTATAAAATTTAAAATTTAAATGTTATAGAGTACATAGGTACAGGATGTAACAGGATAACCTGACAGATTAAATAACTTGTTTTAATCAATATGTTAATTTTTTTTATGTTTATAATTATTAATTTATAATCAGATACGTTACACGTATAATTTATAAAAACTTTTTTTATATTTTAATACTGAAAATAAAAAGGTTTGGATATTTTAGGAAAAATTCAAAATAGTCAATTTGAAAATCTGATTAAATGAACAAAGAACCTATATATTTCTTAAATTATTAACTAACCACATAATTTTCACAATTTTTGGTATATGTTTAAGTAGCATAATTTTATTTTTTTGTATAGGTACCTATACCTGTACACTGCATGTACTTATATATTATCAAATTTAATGAAACCAAATTTTTTTCACTTAAATTTTGGATACAAAAATGTGTACATAATAAGACTTAGACATGAATGTAAGTAAGACATCTAGGTTACATGAGCCATAACCAGTTTTGATATTCTTGATATCTTCCTGCGTAAGTATATATGTCAACCAGTTGTACAGTTCTATCTGTATAAACATAATTTGATCTACTTTTCGTTCACATTTTCAGTAATCAACGTACAAATAAGAATTTGAGGTAAAATTTTCATTATTGTTAATAAAATAAAATGTGCCAACTTACTTATTGTTCATGTGGTAATTTATGGCATGAGCCATCAGGATAGCCACCATAGGCCTAAGGGCTTTTCCTTGCCCATCGAAGTAATATGTAGCTATCGTCCGTAGCTCATCTTGATTAGTGTTCAGTTCAAGTTCCTAAATAATAAATCACAAAAATTACCTTTAAAATTAATATTTATCGATTATTATTATTATTATGACTTTTAAACAAATTAAATACAGATAATTGCAGGTAAGTATATACATTTTATATACATAAACATATTTCTATAATATATTATATATTTAGAAACAACGGCGACTAATTCCATTGTATAACTTAACGTGGAATGTGAGGAATTATTAATGGGTAAAACTATACTAACTTATAACGACTATTAATATAAACAAAAATTAGTGAAAGTTTTTTTATACATATATATCATATTATATTCTATCATAATAGATGTGCCCAACCTCTAAAATATTTATCGAATATTTATTTATATGATTGAAATATGTTCATAATTGAGTTATATAATGTTGCATAATATTAAAACGAAAATTTGGCATTCATTTCTAATACTTAAATAAAAATAATTTTCATGTAAAATAAATCAATTAATACTTAATACATTTTTATTTTTAGCTTTTATATAAATGACCTACGTACAATTAATCGATTTTCAGTGATGCTGGATCTATACATTGATTATATTTAGTCTCAAAATACTTAAGTATATTTATCTTTACTCTCCAGTCTTACAACAAGTATAATATTAAAATATCACAAACCCGTGTGATGTCTGTGTATACATCTCTGAGGTCGTCATCTAACAGTCTGTATGGGTCGATAGAGGACAGTGAATCTGTATCTGTGTCTTGTAAAGTAGTAAAACGTCGACAGTGATTCCTCTGGTGATCTGATCTCATTCGGTTTGACTGTTTCTGTAAAAAAATTAATTGTTAATTTTTTTTTATTTCCGAAAAAATATTAGTTAATATATTTTGTAACGCCCATTTATTTGAAGAGATCTATTCGTAATTCAAATTCTAATGCACTTATATTTTTTAATGACCATACGACCGGTTTTCTATCACACATATACATATGTAATATGTATATACTTTCCATCCTGCAGGCATTGGCCCCCTCATCATCGTCATGGGTATGTGGGACACGACCGAAATACATATTATTAATCGCATCAAAATTTCAATCCCAGGGGAGCTAGGGATTTATGTACCAGTGTTCTTAACACATACAATTGTTTTATCTTTTGGAATTTGAAAATTGCACTTTTTTTTTTTAATAAATCGTATATGTTCACTGTTCATAAAACATATTATAGTATATAAGTAGGTATACAACATATTAATATAACAGATTTAGATTTGATTTAACTTTTGCAGAACTTATAATGTTGAAATATAAATTGTTAAAAATGAAGCCTCCAATTCAAAATTAAAGGTTTAAAGTGGAAATCGATCTAGAAATTACTAAAGAATATTCTTTTCATAATACCTAATAAGGTAGTTGCCCGGGTAGTTGGTTATTTGGTGGTGAAAGACATAAATACTCTTTCTTATGATGAAAAGTTCAATAATATATATCTGAGGTGTTCTTCTTTTATCTTATATTTATTTTCTTAGTTAGATCCTAGCCATATAGTAATTATTAAGACGCAGGTGGTTTTATAATGTATCGATTATAACTAATATTATATAAATTATATATTCAAAACTATAAAAAATTCCAGTTATGCAATTTTATACGAAACACTGAATATTATTTAATACGTAGTTCAAATTACTCATAACGATTGAAATAATGCTAAGCACACCCGTGTGCTACTTAAGCATTACATATTATTATACGTCAAATACGAAGAAAATAAATATATTAAGTGTAGAATAAGACCGGTTATCTAGTTTGGTATTTATTTAGACTTTCAGGTTTCTATTATAGGTGTATATATTGAAATAAGAAAGTGAGCTCTTCTGCATTTTAACTTAGTCTTTAGTTAATCTAAATTAAAAACACGTTTAAATACAAGCATTTATATTTGTATTACAACATAAAAAAAACGAGATTTTTAGTTTGCACCTTCAAAAAGCTAATATACTGTTAATATAGGACTCATTATTATACTCGCATAGTAATCATAACGTTTTTAATTTTATAATTTTGATATTTATTGCCGCGAACGTTCGTCATATTAATGGTTTTCTGGCACTTAGCATAGTAAATTTTTCACAGTTTTTTCCATTGATACGATGAGACATTTGAGGTAGATATACTACCAAGTCATATAAACTCTATATTTTTTTTTCAGATCAAAAATTAGTTGAAACAACTTTCTTTGAGGACATTTTACTGTAAAAATATTTAAGTGTATTATTTATTACAGTTTGCAGGATATTAAAAGATACCACAAAATATATTATTCTCAAATCTATGTAACAATCCAAGTATAACCGTACATATTTATATACTGCACGTCTGCACGACTGTGTTATACGTCTGTACTACCTATCATACATCATTAAATTAAAAAAAAAAAATGATTTCAAGCAGAAATTTATTTAGGAATTCAAAATTGGTCAAGACTCAATGTTAAGTTTATTAATAAATAATGTATTTATTTTCAGTTTTTTTGCAAAACGTTCGATTCTAAAATTTTCAGAATTAAAAAGAATACCTTTCTATACTATGTCCGTCGAAGAACCCTTAGATTCTGCGCATCCCCACGCGACACCTTGTTATCGAGACCGGTTTCACTAAGATAAGGTGTCACGAGGGTTGAACAAAATTACCGATTTTCGTTGGGCCACGGCGTGTTCTTTCGCTGGACGACTATAAGTACCATACTAAAGCTAGAGCTCGATTTCAAATCTATAAACATACTTTCTGAGACTGCGACTATTGGACTTCTACAAGTAAGGTTTTAACCAGAAAAAAAAGCTTAAGTATATATAACTAGTAAAATCAATTACAGCCTTACCTACTTAGTATCAGCTTTACTCTAAATTAAAAATTAACCGATGATAAAATATCGCTGAGTAACTCTAGTAGGTTCTTATCCAAAATACATTTAAAATTACTAAAAAAATTAATTACCTATAGCAATGTAAGATTCTATAATTTACATTTAAATTTAAAAGTTTACTTTCTTAAAATATATAATATTTTAAAACATATTTTCGCGCTTTCTAACGCCGTATCAAGCAATAATCGGTGCATGTCCGGATATGCCGCTTGAAATAATTACATACACTCCAACCGCAAGGCCACAGCGAAACGAAGTTCAACCGCCTCGCCACTTTACGCAAAGGACTTTTTACAAATTTTCAGCCAAGTAATTTTGTGCCAAATTAATTTTTTGTTATTATTTTTTTCTTTATCAAAATTAAAATTTTTAGATAGTTAAATATACCGAGCACTTTTTTTAATGAGCTATAAAAATACACATAGGTCTAATACAATTCAAATAAACAATTTAAAAGTACCTACATTACACAAAACTAATTATTATTACCTATTATAAGTTATAACAAACTTAGTTAGAATCAAACGTATATACAATGCTGAATATAAAAAAAAATAGAACTATCCAATTTGTTAGATAGTTGGGATGATTAGAGAGCAATATGCAACTCATAACACATTTATGAGAACTTTTTAAATATATCAATATAAAGTATTATCAAAAATATTATAATAATTCATTTTTTTTTTTTACAATTGATAATTTTTCAGTCATACAAAATAAGTTAGTGGAAAATTATTATTTCATGAATGAAGCTAAACAAGTTAAATATTACGCAGAAATAAACAATACATAAACATGTACCCATAGAAATGCATAAAAAGTTTACTTTTTATAAGATATCTTATTGGTTTAATAATTAATCAATTATATATTACAGGATGAACCGGAAGTTTCTTGTCGTTTCATAATTTTTTTTTTTTAATCAGTAATATATTTGTCATCGTTCCAATGTGAAAGCTGCAGCACGTCTATATGAATTCATATACAACTGGGATAATAATAATTGCAATCAGTGTACGATGGAATTTCAAAGCAAATCCCCGCCAATTAATAATTAGAATTCAATACATTTTATAATGCTATGATGTTTGTTTAAATATATGACCGAGGTTAATTAAATTTAACCTGAGGTTTCGTGCAAGACTATTGTTAATCTTACGAGTTATAGCTGACGATCATTTATAAAACTATAAACTGCAGTTAATGACATCACACATTATGTACAGTTTATTCTAAAATTTTCTTTAAACATAATTATTGTTTATTTCACATAGGTAATGAATCAAAGATGGTATAATTTAGAAGATATCTCTGTACACATTTTGAAACAAGCACAGCTCAAATTGGATAAATTTTTAGTTAAGCATTCCAACTAATAAGCATAACTGATAGTCAACATATTTTTTTTATAAACGATACTAGTTATATGTATATTTGTTGTTATATATAAAATTTTCAAAATCTAGTCATTTCATTTTTAATGTTAATAAAAATTGTATTATAATTCTGGTTACATTTGTACCTTCTAATGCAAAAAAATACATTAATATGTTATTTTCATCATACGATATGCATTCGAAAACTCATATTAACAGCAAATTTAACCAAGAAACGACAGAAAGAAACGCAGTCAATATTTTTTTCGATTGGCCTCAATTTGGATACTGTGTACGCAATGGACGACACGACACATTCCTGAGCGTTCTCGTGTGAGTTTGTACACGCTTGCTTATTGAATAAAAGTAGAAGAGTCGAGGGAAAGGAAATAAACAAGGATATATGCTATTAACAAATGGAAGTAGGTATACTAGCTATATATATATATATATTTATATAGACTATTGCCAGTAGACACCTTAACCCTATTTGTCGAGTCGAACAAATTAAATCACGGAAAAGCTATGTATATATATTATATACATTATACACAGTGAAGATGTTACAAAAAGTGTAATGACTACCTGACCAATGTGTAATAATTTATAATTATGATATAAAACATACAGGTACTTACGAGTATTATTTTACTTAATATTATACTAAATTCGTCTATTATAAATTCGTATGGCAAAAAAAAAGTAAAATGTGTTCAGCAAATAGTATTGAACATAAATTATTAACTCTCTGCAAATATTTATTCGTTTGTGAGTGGTATTTAAGATTATTGTTTGGTATTTTACATAAATAATGCTAATGACAAAGATAGAATACCTAAATAATAATTACCTATAGTGAAATTAAATGTAGGTATACCTACATTTAAGACCTATCAGATTCATAAGCGACACTGATTAAAACAGATCAAGCCGTGTGTGACCACTAGATTCAAGAATATTATATCAGACAAACGTAGGTAATCACGAATGAATTAAAATATATCAGGATAAATATTTTACTAATGTATAGACACTATCAGAAAAATGCTAGGTATAATAAATTAATAAATGTATGTATACTTTGCACTTATTTTATAATTGTATATTATCTGTGATTCACCTATGTGAATATTTATTTCAAACTGCCACAGAGATGTATACAATAATACTTCATGAGATATTTATAATTTTAAGATGTTTTTTATAGTTCTATCAATTAGGTAAGTTAGTATTTTTTATTTATTATTATGTTTAATAATACTATCTTGGATATTATAAGCAGTCAATATATTTTACATTGGTATATACTATATAGTCATATTTTAATTCTATGCAAACATCAAAGTATTAAAATTGAATTTAAAAATGTTAACATTGCGTAATAAATACAAAAATACGTTATTATTTAAAATACATTTAAGTAAAATACATTTTAAAATTGAAAAAATATCCAACATTATAATAATATAATATATGCCAATATAATAAATAGAACTACTTACCTGACATAGATATAACT